TCTTTTTTTTTGCTTTATTTTTTATTTGGTAGCTAAACTATGGCAGCTAAAATAGTTGAATGATCTTTTTTATTTTGACATCTTTAAATCATTAGTAGTAATCACCCCCAAAGTGGTGAAGATTAATCAAGGATTACATCTGTATTTTAACCTTGCCTGTGGGGATTCTGTAGTCCTCCTGGACAGATTAAAGCCCTGTCCTGCAACAAAACTTGAAGATGGAAACAGTGATTTGGATACTTGCCATTTCACATCAGTTTATCAACCCACAAGATGTTTTTTTTCCTGAAACAGCTTTATCCATGAGAAACAAAGTTAGGTTTTTAAAGAGAGCAGTAAAATGAATAGTTTTATGATATGGCAGATAGTAATCTTGATCCAGTTGATGGCATTAATTTAAAAAAGGGAAAAAGAACCTTTCCTAAGGTTCATACTGCAGGCAGTCTATCATAATACTGTTTTGATACTATTGTCTTCAATAACAGAACAAATAAATCTTAGTTTCTGACTCTTGTTAAAATATCTACTGCCTACATGAATCATCCTAACAAATGGAAATGATCTGATCTGAGCAAGAGAGAGTCTGTATATGTCTAAAACAGCAGAGTAGTCTTTATACTATGTGGAAGGGTTGGAGAGGGTAATACCTACTACTAAAAAACTACTGAACTTATTGTTCAACGAAAAAATGGGAAGAACAATAGTTAAAATATGTTTTCTTCTGTTGGAAAAATGGTAACACAATCTTTACAGACTAGTGACAAACATTTCCCCAGCGAGGGGGTCGCTTCCTCGGGCTCTTCCCGGTTCCCGGTTCCTCCCAGCGGCGACTCAACCCCTCATTCCTGGGCTGCCTCCGGCGTGGCGGGCTGCTTGCTTTGATCGTCGCCCTTCTTTTTGTGCCCCGAAACAATGTCATCGATGCGGAGGAGGAGAACTGCAGTCTGGGGAGAAGCCCCACACCCAGGGCTGGTCAGGAGCTCATCGCAAAGAATAAAATCCAATCCACCCAGCTTTCGCACCAAAGAACCATCTGCCTTGGATTAAACGATTCGGCGCAGCACCCTGCGGCGCAGCATGAGGGAAAGGCCGCGGTGCCCATCAGGGCAGGCGGGAGCAGCCAGAGGCTCCGGCACCCGGCAGGGACGCCCCGCGGAGAAGGGGACACCAGTTGTTTCTAGCTGACTGAGGAGAAAGGGACGCAGCGTCCCCTGAAGCAACTGCCTTCGATCCAACACCAGCGAGCGAATGCTCAAAACACCGTCTTTTAACAAGGGGAGGGCAGCTTACGCGAGGCCACTCCAGACGATCCGAAGGACAGAAGCTCCCGGGGCCACTAACTGGATTCCAGCACGTTGCTGGCACTGAATTTCTCAGTCGTGGCTCCGGCCGTCACGCGGAGCGGCCCATCCTTGTGAGACTAACCGGCTGGCACAGTTTGCCGAAAAAGGTGGGATGGAACACGACAAATCTTAGCCACGGATCAAAAAAAAAAATAAAAAAAGTAAAAACCAACCCCTCTGAAAGCCCGAGGACGGGCTCCCACGGGTGCTGCATCCCTCATCTTGCCTCCTGCGTCAGCGAGCTGAAACACTGGCACGCACCACGCTCGGTTCGCGGTGCTTACCCAAACATCCAAGGGCACGAGCAGTAACGTTCCCCTCTCCCGAAAGACGCGCCACAGGGGCTCTTCAATTTCCACCCCCCCGCCTCCTTACCTCGACCGCTGTTTTGTAGGTTTGCAATTTGACTGCTAAAGGCTCCCAGATGCCCAGGTCCTTCATATCAACCAGGGCACCGGTCTCCCCGTTCACTCCCCACGTCTGGCTGCCTTCTTGGGTGTGTTTTGCCTGCGAGCAGAACGACAGGTCACCACCGACGGAGTACGACAGCAAATTCACCTTTGGAAACTCAAACTGACCACGGGCTCGGGAAAATAGTAAAAGGTCATTAGGGTTTTCTCAGTTTCAGCGTTTATACAAGAGCATGTTACCGAGCACCACTTGAAACGCTTAGTTATGTCAGGAGTTCGACTTGGAGACATTCCCTCTTGTGCCATCCAGTCTAATCTCAAAGGAAGAATTCTGATTTTGTTCACCCTCAGGGTTTTGTTGTTTTGTTTTTGAACTGGCACCTCAAACAAGCCATTTAATTCCATTTTCACGCTTTCAAATTCCGCGCAAAACTGCAGTGAAAGCGTTTGCAGCCCAGCCAACGCAAAACAAAAACAACCGGCAAGTGCCTTTCCATCACCTTCAACGGATCAGTTACTTCAACACAGGTTTTCCCGAAACGTTGCCTGCTGCAACTACTAAAAAGCTGCACCCTCAACAGCCTGACAAGCTGCCCCCACAAGGGCACCGCTACGGAAAGACGGTGGATCTGAGGGGCAGGACAGAGCGGGAAGGGGCTGATCTCTTCAGATGAGCCCATGCTACACGCCTTACCCTGAGCGAGGTCAGCACACGGATGGTACTAGCACCACAGTTCTGGATCAGCGTTCGGGGAATGACTTCCAGAGCCTGGGCTACTGCACGGTAGGGCCACTGCTCCACACCCGTCATGCCTTTGGACTTCTCCGTCAGCGCGTGGGAAACGGCCATTTCGGTAGCTCCCCCCCCTGGCACCAGCTGCGGGTCGACGAGGACATTGCGACACACCTGCATGGCATCCTGAAGGTTGCGCTCCACCTCCTGCAACAGGCATAAAAAGCACAGAGTCATGGGTTGCAGGGAGCTGTAGCACACCACCAGCTGACAGTGCAGCCCACAGCCCGCTGGGCTGGTTCCTCTGCAGCGTACAAGTTCTGCCTTCGCTGTACAGCCCGGCCCACAAGATGGGAACTCTTCGTTGCTCCAGGACCCAGAGGAAACTCGCGCTTGCTTCATTTGCGCGCAACAGCTGCTCAAAAGGCAAGCGGTGACTCACTGACACCAAGAAGGTGGCCAGGACCGGAGGGGAAGCAGAACATGTAATAACTTACTGCCAGGATTTCCTTGCTGGCTCCACGCAGAATGATAGTGCAAGCCTTGGGGTCTTTGCAGTCAGTGATGAAGGCAAAATACTCATCTCCTATTTTTTTAACTTCAAAGAGCCTGGCTCCAGTTCCCACATCCTCCTCCCGCAGCTCATCTGTGCGACTCACAATGCGAGCTCCGCAGGCCCTAGCACACAAACAACAGCCGAGTTAGCTCACAAATAAGAACTGGGGTGTCGTGGTTTAACCTCAGTCGGCAACTGAGCACCACGCAGCCGCTCGCTCACTCCCCCCCCTCCCCCCCGGTGGGATGGGGGAGAGAATTGGAAAAGCACAAGTGAGAAAAA